TATCCAAGTGTGTTCAGTTTCGAGACAAAGGTCAATTCATCGACGTTCGTTTAAAAGTACGTGAAGACATCTTTCCGGTTCATCGCATTGTACTCGCTACGAATAGCGATTATTTCCACGCCATGTTTACTGATGGAATGAAGGAGTCGAACCAGGGAGGTCATCGAACTGAAAGATGAAAGCATTTCACCTGATGCTTTAAAGATTGCCATGGATTCCACCTACACTGGAGATCTTCATGTCAAGGAGGATAACGTGTTTGAAGTTCTTGTCGCAGCTGATTATCTTCAAGTCACAACTGCTGTTCAACAGTGTTGTGATTTCTTGAAGAGGGAATTTATCCAGCTCCGATTTGACCTTCACAACTACTGTCTGCTTTCCACAGTGGCCGATAGACACGGTCTGAGAGATCTGCAAGAGGCAGCGGAGGAGAAGATGGCTTCGATGTACGTAAATGTCTGTGAAAGCGAAGAATTTCTGTCCAGCGTTGGTGCTGATCAATTATTGACCCTCCTAAGTCGAGATGATCTCAGTGCACCTTCGGAGACATTCGTCTTCAATCAGATCAGTGATGCAGTGGATTAAACACAAGAAGGAAGAGAGGATGGCAGTTGCAGGCAAAGTTATCGGAGCTGTTCGTCTGGGGCTGGTGGATATNNNNATCAGTGATGCAGTGGATTAAACACAAGAAGGAAGAGAGGATGGCAGTTGCAGGCAAAGTTATCGGAGCTGTTCGTCTGGGGCTGGTGGATATCAGGGTTGTGATTGAAGAATTGGACGCAGAGGAAATGCAACGAGATCCAGAGATTCACATACAATTCCATGAGGTGTTAATCTTTAATTTCATGCCTTCTCGTAATCCCAAGTTTGCTGTGGAGAAAACAAAAACACGAGAAACTAGCCCGGTAAGAGTTTTTTTGGACTTCACTTCGCAATGACAACGAAGCCGTATGACACAAAAAAATTATTGATTTATCTTAATCTATAACACTTACAGATTTTCCAAAGTTGATTTTAAAAATTTAGTCGAATGCTCGTATTAAGTACATTTGTCTGACATTTGAATTTGACATAATTTCATATTTTACGCGACAGTAATCACTCGATTTTATCAGCACACAATCCCAGTCCCGAAATAAGGACTATTTTAATTTGGGGGAGGGAGGACGAGGGGGTGTCGGCTAGTATTTTTTTAGCTAGTAAAATTTTTTCAGCTTCAGGTGATACAAGATTTTTTATCTTCTTTGTTGCTCGCTTTTCGAATGTTTCTAGGTTTTCTTTCTGGGGAAATATTGTCGGTAATTGTGTGGTCCTTCTCCCCATCTCGAAAATGTAATGGTGTATATTTGGCTGATCACGCTACATTTTTGTGTATGAAGCTACGTACCCTCTGACAATTTCGCTGAAGAGAAAGCAAAACCACGATCAGTGAAGCCGGTAAGATGAAGTGTACCATCTTATGAGACTTGTCTTTTATCCCTAAGCGGGGTTGGAGGGTGTTTTGGGAGGGAGGTGAATGTTAACTCCCCCGGCTAATTTGATTGAAGAACAGAACAGAACTAACAGAGGAGATGCAGCGAATTCCAGAGATTGATATACCGGTGTACGAATCATTTTAACGTGTGCTGTTTGTTTTGTTAGCTAAACTTGCTGAACTTGCCTGATTTCAGGTTCTTGTTGCCATTCTTCCNGTGTACGAATCATTTTAACGTGTGCTGTTTGTTTTGTTAGCTAAACTTGCTAAACTTGCCTGATTTCAGGTTCTTGTTGCCATTCTTCCTCAGACTCAGATGCAGTACTTTGATGATGGAGCCAAAAGTTGCAAACCTTTACCATCCATGGCACAATTAACTGAGGCAACGGAGTGTTCTTGCGCTGAGTATGTAGGCAATTATTTGTATGTAGCTGCAAAGAAGGCAAAGAATGATTTTGTCAACTATCGATATGACACAGTTAACAACTCGTGGGAAACACTCTCCCCAGTTCTAAGTCAGGCCTTCTCTAAGAGTCATATTGACTCTCTTTGTTCTGTTGAGGACTATTTATATGTGATCACCAGTGGATCAATATGTGAACCTTTTAGGTATAGCCCAGCTAAGAATAATTGGCAAGGTGGGGCTAGTTTAGGTTTTGTTAAGAAACAGTTTGACAATCCAAACAGCCAACTAACCAATGCAACAGCAACAGTTTGGAAGTCACATATATATGTGCTTCACGGTGCTAAGAAAGCTGAACTGGGTATTGTACAAGCGTGAACTCCCTTTACATGCGGTGGGGGCTATGTTGCCGCTCAGGTCTGGGTAGATAAGTAAACTGTATTGCACCGCTTTGACCAAAAAACAAATGAATGGAAACAACTTTCCACAAACTGCCGTCCTCACTGTAATTCTGGTCTCTTCGTGTTTAATAACAGGCTTTATGTTGCCGAGGGTTGTGCTTTCAGTTCTCAATCTGGCGTGGCAGCCTCTGCTGAAGTGTATGACGATGGAAACGACACTTGGTCTGTTGTTGAGCAAAAGCACATTCCCCTAAACAATCTTGGTGCAGTAGAAATAGAAGGGAGGGTGTATTTCATCGCCAACAAATTTCCAGTTGACAGTGAGATTAGAATCCCACCATGCCAGAGGAGATCTACCACGTTCAGTTAGACGAATGGGAAAACTTGGCAAAAGTAAGCAACAAGACAGTTTTGTGTTATCTTCCTGTGAAGAGAGAAAGCCTTTAAAACAGAGCACGTTGAAACTCAAGCTGACTAGCAATTGAAGTTTCGGCATGAGATCGCTAGTCATTCTCCATTAAAGTGTGAAAGTTTTTTGCAATAGTTAAGATAACCCAATAAAAAGGTAATTAATAAGAGGTACATGATGTATTGGTGACTCTGTCTTCAGAGTTTTGAAAATAGCGCTTTTTAATGAAATCGTAGCAGCTTTGTAGTTCCTGTTTTGAAAACCAGGTCGACAACTTTCGGATTTGAACAAAACTGTTTTAGACGAAACGTTTAAGGTGCTTGGTTTTATGGTCTTTTGGATTGTGTAGGCATTTGATTTTTAGAGTTACATGCGCAATTGGAGCTAGAGTTATACGTAGCCAGACATTGACAGAAGTCAAAGAGAACTGTTTCTTTTAGTGTAATACCAGATAGTACTGCATTTCACAATGTGTTTTAAATGTCACAAAGTTTCAATAAAAAACGATTTTGCAAAACATTTAAGCAGGAAAATTAAGGTAACTAAAGTAATATGACGTTTCGACGACTTCATGTCATCATTGTCGAATAATAAATTAAAAATAAAAATAACAGCATAGCATATTTATAGTACTTAGCATGTGAGAAAATAAATTAGCAAACGTGAACGCAAGCGGATTGCATTCGCGAGGAACATTTTACCTGAATGTTTTCATGTCACGTTTGCTAATTTATTTTCTTACATAGTGTCACGAACGCTATGTAAACTGTCATAAATAGCCCTTTATTTAGACCATTACGAGATAAGTCTTTGCCAGTTTTGTTTAGGCCATCGCAGTCGGCTTTTAATTACCTTAGTTTCCTTTCAATTATCAGTCAATTCTCTTTTCTTGGATAGAGCACCTGTTAGCCATATGCTTCCTGTTTGACGACATTCCACCTTTGAACGCCCTTCGTTTCCCCCATGATAATGAACGCCAATTTTGATTTTAGCTAGTCGGAGTTACGTTGTCATAGGAGGAAGAAGTCATCGACGTTTATTAGTAGTCAGTCCTTACTCGTAACTATCGGAGTACCGTTGGAGCATTGGAGTTACCTTTTCCTTTTCAGCGTTTAACGCAGTACCGGACGTAAGTTCTACTCGTTTGTATTCACCTTTTCGTTTTTCTTTTACCACGCCTTTGTAGATCTTGGAAATTTTAGCTCTCTTTTAATTACGTATTGTAATCTACTCTGTAGTTTTCATCGCATGCGTACAACATTTGGGCAAGTTGACCTTAATAAACGCTGATCAAGTAAAGCCTGTCCAATTGTTCTACATCGTGCGGTTGACGCTCGACGATCTCAATGCGCACCACGTGCCTGCTACTTGAATTCGTCACACATAGTAATTACTATAAATATGCCTTGCCGTTCTTTTTAATTTATTCATTCGACAATGATGACAAGAAGTCGTCGAAACGTCATGTTGCTTTACTTACGTTAATTTTCTCGCTTAAAAGTTTAATTAGTAGTAACATGTTGAGTGACTGACTGCAAAACACGAATTGTATTGCCTGGTGCTGAGGCTCTCCCAGATGTTCCAGAGGATAAGACAGCCTCGGTCTAAAAGCCCTGGGAATGAGGTTGGCGATAAGGAAACGTTATGCATGTCTCTACTATTAACGGAGACTGTCTAAAAACAGTTTTGACAAGAGTAGAATTTACTACACTAATGGGAAACTAGAAAAAAAGGCATTTTGTTGTTGACATAAAGGGATCATGTGTCTTTCCCATAAGGAACCTAATGATTGTGTATTAGTAATCACACGAGCAATAAATATATCTTTTTCTCGTGGATTTTGTTGTTGTTGCTTTTTTTATGTAAGCTTCATTGGTGAGGCGGCATAACAATGAATGATATTGGATTAGTAACCTCTCTCCTATTGCTTCAAGAAAGTGTAATAAAATTTAGAAGCTAATTCGGGCGTTGTCTGCTAGTCCGGCGGGGCTCATAAACGAACTGACATAATTTTCAACTGTGACTTCGAGAAATCCAAAGGAATAAAATAAAACAGAGATGTTCTTAAATTCTATTTAGTTTATCAAAAAGATCGTCATTTTGGGTGTTGCCTCGATGGAGCAAGTAAGAATATGTTAGGAGGAAGACAGCACCAGAAATCGCGCAGGTTCCGAGAAGCCAAACGTTTCGTGGCCTTGCTCGCGTGACGATTTTATTGTGGGTGAAGCCAGACGTGCGATCACGTGACGATATATAAAATTTGCATTTTATGGCCACAGGGCGCGTTAGAAATGTAAAGCAAAGCATCGCAAGATGGCCGCCCATTCCGAGATTCTTTTATCCAAGTGTGCTCAGTTTCGACAGGAAGGTCAGTTCATCGACGTCCGTTTAAAAGTACGTGAAGACATCTTTCCAGCTCATCGCATTGTACTCGCTGCGAATAGCGATTATTTCCACGCCATGTTTACCGATGGAATGAAGGAGTCCAACCAGGAACTGATCGAACTCAAAGATGAAAGCATTTCACCAGATGCTTTAAAGATTATGATGAACTCCATCTACACTGGAGATCTTCGCGTCAACGAGGAAAACGTGTTTGAAGTTCTTGC